ACAAGATATTAATATTTTACAGTTTTCTAAAATCAATCTTACATTACAGCACAAATTCAGTTATTTGTTTGTCGATATTGACAAATACATGTGATACAGATTTTCATAATTTAACAGAAAAGAATTTCACGTTCATAGACAAAATAGTGTCCACTACATATGTATTTATGAACCAGTCACAAATACTAAATTGGAAATGTATATTCATAGCAATTCAGATGTAAATTGCAAATTCTTTGTTTCTAATCTGTATAGTGTAAAAAAAATATTTAAATTTTATCTCACTATTTTACTTTAAATATTTAATTAGATGTAAGGCATACTTAGGTAAAACCTAGGGAAAATAATTTGCACAGCCGATAAATGGTAGAAGGTGATATTCTTCTGTAATTTGAATTTGCAATGTGATTTATATATAATTATATCTACGTATATGAATGCAACATTCAAAATGATATATCTCAGAGATGTAATATTTAAATGCAACCTTGCTTTCTGTGATTTGTAGTCCTTCTCTTGATTTAAAATACTATATTGTAAGAAAAGAAATGTATAAAATATTATAATTATATTTAATATGTGATACACGCGATGTGTTGCAATTGTGATTACCTCGCGACAATTCCTGAGAATTATATAATATGAGAAAGGTAATGGAAGAGTATTAAATGTTGATACGCTTATGTGGTGTCATGTGTTATCGGTCGCTACTTCTTCGATAGTAGCTCTACACATTGGACACTCTATCAATTGATTCGAACACGTTTGGCAAAATCCTCTGAAATAAAATTTATTTCTATTTTAACAAGATAATTGATATAATGTAATAATGTAAAAAAAAAAAAAAAAAAAAAAAAATAATGTATATATAATACCTATGATTGCATGGTAGCAATCTTACAGAAGCTCTTTGGTCAAAACACAATGTACATGAATCCTCTCTAACGCTAAGTTTCCTCAATTGATCTAGATATATGTGTCTAGGAAGCACAACTTTATCTTCAGGCTTCAAACTAGCATAATCGTTAAATTTTTTATATTCGCGATCGGTAGGAGGATATTTAAATGGTACATTTCCAAAATTAAAAAGACATTGTTGGAATGACATAAAACTAGCTGCTGCAAAAAATCCAGACCTAAAATATTTAAAGTATTTATTATATACTTGGAATGTTGCGCAATTTTTTTTTTTTTTTTTAATTTATACGAATATACATACCGTACTGTTTTAAAAACTTGAACACATGGTTTCAATGGTACACCATTTATGGAAAATATTATTTCCAATTTATTCAAATCTAATAAACAACCCAAAATATCACCAGCTTTCCAACAAGGTCTATCATGATTTCTTTCACTCTTTGCATTATACCAAATTAATCGACGACAACCATCATAGGCCAAAGAATATTCATCATCCCCTATGCCATAGCCTTCCTATAATGATAAAATAAAATATATAATAATTTATATAATATAATCATTTGCATTACATTAAGAATATAAATGCTTACGTGATTTAAAAATGTGCTATTTTTAGTGGCCCATCCAATTTGCATTACACCTGTAGTTATAACAAGTGTTTCGTAATACCAAATTCCCGAATCTACTTGAAACGTACATCTTACACTTTCAAATGAATATGCATCACATCGAGCCTAAAAGTGTGACGAAAATATGAATAATAGAAATATTCTATAATATAATATAATATTTTACAAAACTTACTTCTAAGCCATTAGGTGATATTTTCAGGTACTCGCTTACATCCTTTGTATTTAACATTACATTAATACCAGACATATCAACTGAATCGTGAGAATATTTTCTACCTTCCATTATAACTATAATAATAAAAATAATATTTATCAATTTAAAAATTCTCCATTATAAAACACTTTTTATTATATATATCATACAATACACATATCACTTACGCAAATTGTCTAAACACCATCGCGCACAAAAACCTACTTGACGACGTACATAATGAGTTTCTGTTGCCCACTTTTCCAATTCTAATAATGGATTTGGTTTCTCTGCCATTAAACGTTTTTTTATAGTTATTTTATTCTCACCTAAAATAAATACAATTTATTTTCTTAAAATAAATTAAATTATTAAAATTATCATTATTTGTATAAAATATTGCACAGTACAATATTTAATATTTATTTTGTTTAATATTTTATATTAATTTATATTTACTATTATATGTTTTTAATACTTACTTGTTTGTGCAAATTTTTCCAAGGCTATTAATGAATACAATACCACATAAGGATCAATATTTTCCTTCTAAAATAACATATAAATTATAAATGAAATTGTCTTAATAGATTTTATACTTTATAAATAATATTCATTCACTTACAAGATTTGAAATAAGATAGTCCAAAGTCTCATCGGATAATATAGCAATACTACTAGGGCCAGTTAATTTTTCTGCTATACAACCCAATACAACACAGATGTTACGTTGCTGAGTTGCACTGGTCTGTATATTTCCAAGTTTTTGAGATAATTGAAACATGTGTGACAATCGTAAAACTAATTCCTAAAAAGTTAAAATATTTATGGCAAAAGTTTCAAATACAATCAGTAATATAAGAAATATAATTATACCTTTGATGGTAATGGACAATCATCTAATAAAAGAGTGATAACTGAAGGACCTAATGGATTATGCATAGGAATAATATTAACCATTGAACTCACAACTTGTATCCATCCATCTTCTTTATCAGCAATAGCATGTAATTTCAACAATGCAGGTGGTGGTTCTTGCTCACTGAATATAATATCAATATAATCAATTAATATATTTAATAAATGATAAATGATAATTTATTTTAATTTATATTTATGATATTTAACTATTTATTTAATTATTATAATATTTATTATTATATTTAATTATGAACATAATAATAATAATAATATATAATTATTATATATAAAATAATTTATAATTATCATAAAACTTACTTATCAACAAGAGAACCAATTACTCCAAGAGTTTCAAGTACTAATTTATCAATGTTAGCTGAAGTTGGAAATTTAAAAGTTGTAATGTTCATATCATTAGAGGCAACTGTGCCTACATTTGATTCTGGTAATATAGTATTTTCAGTATTTGCATGATTATGTCCATGATGTATTTCGAGTTCTTCTGGGATATCTTTGCACAAGCAATTGCCCATTCCCACACGTTTATAAAGATACTTTTAAAGATATTCTATCACATATATTCATTAAGTAATATTTACACAATCATGTAACATATGTATTATTAATTGATGTATCCAATGTAACTGAAAACAATGTGTTTTTTTAAAATAATAATATTTATTAAATATAAATTTATACATATAAGCAGAAGATTAAATCTTGAAGATTAAACTTCCTTATAATTACAAAGTTTTTTTGTTACAATATATACTAAAAATATAGAATCATAAAAATCATATTCCATTACAATAAACTAAAATTTTTATTCATATTCTTGTTTCTTTTTTTTTAAATATATAGATAAATGCAATTTTGATCGAAATATTTACCGAATAAAAATCAGCTTACAATTATAATTTTATATAAGTCAAGATAGCCTATCTGAAAATGAAACAAATTTAATAATAATCGTTTAAATAATTTATAATATATTGTAATATATGTCTAAATATTACATACGTGTTTGAAAGCTGTCATTTGGTTATGTTTTTATCAAATTAGAAAGAAATTATTCAATTTCTGAGCAACTTTTCTTGATTATCTATTTCACATAATAATTTCGAAAATCATATCCATCTTGTACTTTTTGCAATAAAATAAAAATTTAAACTTATATTATACTTTAAATCATATTCCTTAGGTTATGTTCTCGATAATCTTCAAAACAGTAATCTTAACATAAGAGAATACACGAACTATACTATATTTTACGTGAGGTGATCAATTCTAAATCATATATGAGATAAGCCTTCTACGTCAATATCTCTTTTTAACGTTTTATTTAATTAACATTTTATAAACGATAATAAAATATTTATCAATATATCACTTAGATAATGGCGTTGAAAATATTTTGACAGATTTCTCATATAATTTTATATACGAATTTTAATTGTGTAACTTATAATTAATTCTTCAATTGAACAATATATGCATGTATATATACATAATACATAAATACATAATATTTAATAATACGCCAATAAGAATAGTTTATATATAATTTTATATGCATATAAGAAATCTTATTTTATCATAATAACAAATTGAGAAATTAATATAAAATAATATATGCAAAATTAAGAATTGTATTATTTCATTAAAATATTAAGTAAAAAAGAAGTTTTTTTTAAACAATGTTATTATTTCTTTTTTATTTCAATATCAATATCAATAATCACGAATATAAAAAGGTACATTTTAGAATCTTTACGAATAAAATTTATCTCAAATATTACTTTATATTATTATATATAATGAAGCTGTTAAGCTGAAAAGTTTAGTTTTATTATTTCTATGTACAATTTTCGAAAAATAAATCTAATTAAAAGAGATATAAAAATGAAAGAAAATTTATTTAAAAAATAGCCGCCATATCGAATGATAATCTACGTTAAAACGATAATGTATATCGAAGAATCGAAATCGCAAAGTAGTCGCGGTACGTCTGGTACTTTCAAGACGAATTTCTTAACAATACGTCAAAAACGAATTTTTGATCGTTTTCATATATTATAAAAAAAAAAAAAAAACTGTTATTATTTGATGTATATGAATTTAGAATTACTGATCGAATAAATAAGTATTTTGATAGAAATCATCGAATAATACTTTTTAATAAATCGTGCGATTCAATCACATGGGGAAGGCGAAAGAATGTCAACGATCAATAGTATTACGAAAATGAATTGGTGATTCGTACGTTGAAAATTTTGTGCACAACATGGTGTCTGGAGATCACGAAAGATTGCTGCCGGAACCGGAAAATTATGTGAAATGTTTTTATGATCTTTTCAAAAGTATCGCAGAAGCACAGAGGTGCGAAATGTGTATAACCTCCTTCCAGCTTTGTTTACTTGACGCTTTTGGCGGTGACTTCATCTATCGTTTATTAAACTTAATAATTGCGATACAAATTTTGATAATTTTGTCATTATTTTTGTTGAATATATCATTTAATATCATCGATTTTCTAAATTTTACTATAATTTTTTTAGATGTTTAAAGTAACCTAAAATTGTTTGTTTATTAAAGTTGATGTATTGTCATTTTGACAATTCTCATACGAAATGTATAAAAAATATTGATTTATGAATTAATTTATGATTTATATTTTAAATAATTTATTTAATGTCAATTATTTATCTAATCTAATCTAATGAAAATCTCTGTGAAAACATATGATTATAGGTATTTATCAAAAACAATAAAGATTTAATATTTTTTCTTAAACGTTTATTTTTACAACACTTTCCTTTATAATTGTAAATATATTAGAATAGAAATAGATTATTACAGAAAATTATTAGTATAAATATTAAAATTAAAATATATTTCCTATGTCATATATTTTATATTTTAGAAATAAAGAAGAATGGAGAAAATGTAAGAAAAATAAATCTATTCGTAAGAGGGATAAGAGAAAGGTATTATTAACTTTTACTTATGTTATGTTTTTATATAATTTTTTTTTATGCTTGTAATTATTTTGTAAATTATAATTATATTTATAACTTATAGATTGATTTGAGTGGAGATTTGAATTATAATAATCCACCAGAAATAGAATTATCTTGCAATGCTTCTGCATTTGCTGTATTTGCTAGTGTTAGGAGTGCTATTTTGGAGAGGCATACTAGAACATCAAATGAAGTTTATAGAGTATCAAATTGTAATTCTCCACCATCACCGGAACATAGTGAAACTATCGATACTGAAAGTGATGATGAAGATAGAATATCAACTATACAGAGCTTACCAAAGGTAATTAAATGAATTATATTAAAAGAATTATATATTAGTTTAAATATCTTTAGATTGTAGGTATTGGTTTACGAAGCGTTTTCACATTGATGAGAGAAAGTAGAACTATTGAACCTGCTTTGTGTACAAAAGCATTATCAGCTTTATTGGATGTATTACAAGGACAACTTCCTGAAGGCCTGAAATCTGAACCAGATGATGTTATTGGTAATATATATAAATTAATATAAATTTATTGCTTTATAATAGATATTTTTAATTTTTCTTCCTTTTTTTTTATAGATCCACTTTTTGACTTATTATTGGATCTTGCAACTTCACATGGGCCAGAATCAGCAGCAGCTAATGATGGAAGTCACTTAACTGCAGTTGCTTGTGCATGTTTATTGAGTCTTGTGGTTGTTAGAGGTGATACTGGTCGTTTGTTAGCAGCAATAGCAGCTTTACTTATGTGTCCAAGAGTACTAGCAATTCAAAATATTCAGGTAAATTTTTTCATCAAAATTCATGACATATGTTTCTAAAAATTTATTTATTTTAAATTGTATGTAATATACATATATATATATATTATAGATGCCATGTGTATTGACATCTTTGCAAAGAAGTGTACAAGCTGTTTTACTTGGAAAACTTGCACGGCCAGACTGGATTACATATGGAGTTCCTAAATGTGCTAAGATTTATACGCTTAAGTTACCAAATGAGATAAATAATATAATACTAAATGGGCGAAGCTTTGTAAGTGATGGAAAGTACCTGTATCTACATACAAGTAGAGGATTATTGAAAATTGGCAGTGGTCATGGTGGAACTATTTGGGGTCATATGTATATTCAGAAGGCGGACTTTTATCCAACAGAAACGGGTTGGCTTGGTTATGCAAATGTTAGTATAATTAAATATTTTCTATGCAATTACATAAAGATTTTTTTAACATTGTTTTTTTTTTTTTTTTTTTTTTACAGAACACGCTGTATTTTAAGTATACACCTAGAAAACAGAGCGAGTTATTAATTATAGATGCGGAAACTCTTACAGTTACGGAAATTGCTGTTTTAGAAGGTCGTGATTGGTCATCCTCCGTTATGTTTTCTGATGGTGAATGTTTAGGAATGATAACTGCAGGAAAAGATGTTAGTTTTTTTTTTTTATTTTTGAATCAATATCGATAAAATTTATGTTGGTTGAAAAAAATATACATTGAAATTTCATTAATTTCAACAGGATGGTTTTGTAGTCAGAACAATAAATACGTTAAGTAATCCAGTAACAGTTGCATCAGAATTACCATTAAAATTAGCAAGAAAATGTGTAGATGTTTTCGGGTATGCTACTTTCGACGAAGAACAAAGCACTCATACATTAAATCCAGGCTGTGATGATGAAATTGCTACAGTTATTGCAGGAAAAGAATTTGCGTTGTTAAAAACCGTATCGGGAAAAGTAAGTATCACAATTTTTTAATATATTAAAGTAGAAGTAAAATATATGATTATATCGTTTTTTAAAGGTTCTATATAGCGGAAAAGGAACTTCTCTTGGTATGAAAAATAACACAAGGCCTAATAGATGGATGGAATTAACGCTTGGAAAAGGTCCAAGACTTATAAATTTTGCAGCTGGTCATGATGGTCAACATGTTGTAATGGTAATGGATGATGGTTCGGTTTTATTTGCTGGTACTGCTAGACGTGGAGAAGATGGTGATAATAGTAAGTGTATTATTAACTTCTATGACATGAAATTCATAACATGCTTTGATATTTTCATCTATTTTTTTTTTTTTTTTTTATTTTTAGATAAAGTTAGGCGACAACCTAAACCAGTCAAACCAAAAAAAATAGCAAAAGTAGAAGGACAATATATAGTGGATGCTGCTTGTAATAATGGATCAACAGCATTAGTTACAAAAGAAGGTTCTTTGCTGATGTTTGGCAAAGATACGTTGCATAGCGATCCGGTTTCGGGGATAATTAATGATCTTAGAGATGTTTGCGTTGTTCATGTTTCATTAGGTAAAGCTCACGCTGCAGCATTAACTAATAAAGGACATTTGTACACATTTGGAATTAATAATAAAGGACAATGTGGAAGAGATTTTACTACAGTTCATAGTACTATAAATAAAGATACCTCCTCTGTTGCTGTAGAAATGGGTACAGCAGAAGATGAACTTTTAGTAACTGAAGAAGGTAATTGTATATACATATACATAATTTTAATATTAAATATAATTTAATATAATTTTTCATATATTTATTATAAAAAAAAAAATTTTTTTTCATATATACTTAGATGGTATGGAATCTACCGAAGATTGGGAAGAAACAAAAGGTATGTGTCCGCCTGGATTACATCAATGGAGGCATCGTGTTTGTATGGTTTGCACAGTATGCCGAGAATGTACTGGATATAGCATATCATGTTTAAGTAGTATACGCCCAGATCGAAATCCAGGCCAGTACGTATATTAATTATATATGTATATGTATAAAATAAGAAATTGAAAGACGTATTTTCAGGGAATGTGGATGTGGTGAAGGTGATAGCGGATGCGCGGAATGTGGATGTTGTCGTACTTGTGCAAGAAAAAGTTGCACCAATGGTAAAAATTCATTTTGAAATTAAAGTGATATTAATTGAACATTTTTGTAGGTTTTTTTATGTTATATTATATTATATTTTAGGTAGATCAAGTTCAAATTTTCGAGAATATTTACAAAGATGCTTGGGAGAAATAAAACAAAAGCAGAGAACGAAGGCAGGTCCGAGTACTGCAAAATATGGAATGAAGTTGAAAGGTCCGAATAATCAAAGATTGGGTAATTATTTTAATTATAAAATAGATGTATTATGAAATAGATATATTATAAAATTAAATTAAATTATAATAATTAATATAACGATAAATTTTGTGCAAAGTAGCTGGTCCAAGTGTGATCCAAAAAATTGCTGGAAAAATGGCATTAGGATTAGGTACTAATTTAATGAACGAAGAAGGTATTGGTGGGAGTGATATTGAACGAGGTGATGCTGCAAGAATTGCTAGTATACCACCAGCTAGAGTTCCTATACCTAATGAAAGTCCTGTGGTTCAAGTATCATGTGGTTTACATCATACAGGTAATTAATAAAAATTTACTTTATATTTTTCTAATAAATTTATGAAAATTGTATCATGTTGTATTTAGTGGTACTCTTACAAAATGGAGAAGTTTATACATTTGGAAGCAACATATATGGTCAGTTAGGTGTAGGAGATTTGATAGCACATGTTGGACCAGTACATGTTAAATTACCAGGAATTGCAACGCAAGTTGCTGCTGGAAGCAATCATACGGTTGTACTTACATCAAAGGGAGAAGTGTTTACATTTGGAGCTTATCAAGTTTGTAGTAGTATTAAAAAAAAAAAAAACCATTGTCCGATAATTGAATAAAATAAATAATTAATATTTTCATATTTCTCGTTAGAAAGGGCAATTGGGCATAAATTGGTGGAATGGACAAAATGAACTTTCAAATTCTTCTCCTCAAATTAGTCGTCGTTCTGATAGGACACAGCCACGCCATTGTTTCCCAACTGTAGTTCCAAATATTGGTCCACAATGGGGCAGACGAGCGACGTGGGTTGGTGCAAGTGGAGATCAAACTTATGTCAAAATTGATGAAATAAATTCTATTAGTTTAACCAGGAGTACTGTTATGGCAAATAAAAATTGCATAAGTATGTCTTCTTTTTTGAATCATAATTCCATCATTACATATATTATCAAGTGCATCTAATTATAAAAATAAAACTTGTTTCAGTTTTAATTCCGCATCAAACTGATCATGCAAATTCCTTCAAATGTTTAGTTATAAGCAAAAGAGATGGTACATGTAATAGTTATAGTGGAACCGATCAAGTTGATTTCAATAATTGCGCTACATGTTTAGATCCTTTATATAACATGATTTGGACTTTCAATCCTATAAATAGCGAAATAAGTTTATATAATATTATATCAACGGAAGTTAGAACAATTCCTGGATTGGAAGTTTCTATTTTGAGTCCAGGTTTAACTCTACCTGTAGTATCGAATTGTTTCGTAACACGTTCTCAGGCTGCAATGCATTTATTGGGTTGTTTAGATACCCTTACACAAGCACAAGATGAAAATTTTTCTATAGTAGAAGAAAATGAATGTAACCAATCAACACACGGAAAAGTTTATAGTCGTGAAGATTTTGTTACGGTCAATAGATTTGAAAGTGCGTATAAAAAAAATCAGAAAAAGTAAAATTGTTTCTTATGTTTTTTGTTTTTTATAAGTTTGAAAGAAAAATTAATTTATATTTTTAGGCCACGGTGGTGGTTGGGGATATTCTGCACATTCAATCGAAGCTATTAGATTTATGCCTGATACTGATATTTTACTAGGTGGATATGGATTGTTTGGAGGACGAGGGGAATATACGGCAAAAATAAAAGTGAATAATCGTTATATATTATATATTTTTAATAAGTTATGCATAATTATTATTTTATGATAAGAATTATGATAACATTTATTTATTAAATATTATTCCAGCTTTTTGATATTGGAATGGATGGAGGGGATCAAGAAAATGATGGCGAGCTTTTAGCAGAATCTGAAGAAATACCATACGAGTGTGGACCACGACAAAAATATTCAATTTTATTTTACGAACCAATTCCTTTGCAAGCAAACAGATGGTACGTTGCATGGGCTAAAGTTAGCGGTCCATCTAGTGATTGTGGATCTGGTGGTCAAGGAATGGTCACAGCAGAGGATCAGTTAGTAAATCGCAACTTTTCTATTCGAAGTAATGTAAATTCTTTTCTTACGATGCATCATAATTATCATTTGCTTGTTTTACCAGAGTTATGTTTTATTTTAAATCTTCGAAAAGATCTAATAATGGAACCGATGTAAATGCTGGACAAATTCCACAATTATTATATCGTATCGTAACACCCGAAAATCAAACTCCTAATAGGCAAAGGGATCGCATCGAACCAGTTTATGTATTAAAAAGAGATTTCAGCAGAACGGTTACTAAAGTACGTATATAATATATTGAGATATTACATAAAAAAAAATAAGATGAATAAAAATAATACGAATAATTTTTTTTTTTTTTTTTAGGAATGTTTTCAATCATTAATATCTCTCCTTCAATGGAGTTGGAATACATTAAAAGCAGCGTTAAGCGATATCATGGTTCATAGCACTTCTTCTCACGCGCTTGAAGTGGAGCGTTTAGTTTACATTAGTAAAGCTAGTTTACGATTACTTAGAATCTATACCAATGAAATTTATCCAAATCAAGGTGCATAATAATAATTTTTGTAACGTATATTTGGTTCTATTTTTTAATTTGATATCGATGATGATTTGCAGCGGGGAAGAAAACTCCAGCTGAATCGGTTAGATTAGCAGAGTGCATAGGTGAAGTACGTGCATTATTACATCAAATTTTGTCCGATACTGTACCGTTAAATGCGAAAAGTAAAGGAAAAACGCGATTAAACAAAAGTAAGTTTTTATAATATACAATTTTTTATTTTATATATTTCTTTTTACTCTTTATTATAAAATGCGAATAATAATTGTATTGCATTTTAGCTCCTAGTGCCATAAATAATAATAAAATGACAAATAGCATATTAGAGGAATGCCACAGAACATTTGTAGCTTGTTATCATGTATTTTATCCAACAGCGTATTTGAAATGGGTGTGTTTATGCGAGCTGCTATCAGAAATCGACAGAGTACGTGTTTTTGATTGAATTTATAAGTTAAAATTTTCTAATTAAACGATTCGTATAGAATAAACGGATACATTTTACAGGAACAAGGACGATCTACGAAGGATCGATTGTTATCTGCTATTTTGGCTGCTCTATGCAATCCTATTATTCGTCTTCGATGTATATTTCCAATTTTAAATAATGTGATGGATAGTAGCGATAGTATAAAACGGCAACTCAGTCCATCCGACAATACTGGCTTGTTAATGATAAATTCAACCGAAAGTCACCAATATCCAATCTTAGTCGAGCAAATTAGTTATAAATCTCAAATAGAAAGTTCCGGCAAAGAGACTTTAAACTGGTCATTTCGCGATGTCCTCGATAGACTGTTAGATTTGATTCTAGTCCCTGTAAAGAAAAGTCTTTGTAGAAAAAAGACTCAATCACTGCCAGAGTTGGTACTTCATTGTTGTTATTTATTAGCGCGAGTGATCGCCGAATTAGCGGCACAATCTAGTGGGAACGAGGATGAACTTCAAGCCGCATGCGGTAGAATCATGTACACTACACCTTCGAGATTTACTCGTGTAAATCAAACAAGGTCGTGGAATACCGGTAATGGCTCTCCAGATGCGATTTGTTTTTCGGTCGATAGACCAGGTATCGCCATCGCGGGAGTGGGTATTTACGGAGGTGTTGGAATGTATGACTATGAATTGGAGTTACTCGACGATGTGAGTATCGTTATCGAAACTTTGAAATGACAAAAAAATATTTGTTTTTAACGTTTCGAATATTATGATATTATACATTTTGTAGCAAAATAATACGGGTAACGATCCATCCCATACTCAACGTTGGAGCAGTTTGGATTTTACACGTGGCACTTTCGGGCCAGATGATTGCGTTAACGATATAGTAGAATTAAAATTCGATAAACCTGTGCCTATCAAGGAAAATATGAAGTACGCTATTAGACTGAGAAATCGTGGAGGACGTACAAGTAACGGCGATGTTGGTTTGAGCGTCGTTAAAGGACCCGATGGAACTACGTTTACTTTTACAGCTTGCTCTTTAAGCTTTAACGGTATGTTTTTTATTCGTTGTAAACGAAATGATGAAATATCGCTTTATTTAACCGAGAATGTTAATACGTATGATTTTTACAGGTACAACTCAGACCAGAGGTCAAATACCGCATATCCTTTATTATTCGAATCCTCAAGACTCGGACGGTCAACAAACGAGCAAAGCAATGGCTGAAGTACAGGCAAGAAAGTGTGCCCTTGCCATGACGGCTACGATTATTCAAAGATCGAACGAAATTTTTGCATTAGCGAGGGAAAGGGCAGAAGAAGTAATAGCGACGGAAGTTCTTGGCAACGCGACATTCGTGACGACACTTTTACCATTGGTTATGGCGCACATCAGCCCTTTGGCTACGTCGGATCCGAGAGTAAAAATCATCATTTTTCATCATATTTTTTTTTATAATCATAGCTATATTAATGAATTATCTTTATCTTTTTTTTAGAGCGGTGTTCAAATTCTTACTTTAATACAAGAAATGTTACCTCATGTCGCGGCGCTTAATTTATTATCCACAATGGGATCATCTGAAATATCTCAAGACAACGAGATTCAGCCCCACATTCCTACGCCAATAACTACCAGTCATCACTATACTTGGTTGGAAAGTGATCATCCTTATAAACCCGCTACAGTATCTCATTACAGAGTCACGTTTCCAGAAACAGTAAAATGGTTAACGATCGAATTTACGCCAGAATGTGGCACAGCTCAACCAGAAGATTATTTACAATTGTACATACCAAATATAATTTCTCTTACCGGGTAAATTACAATTAATTCAATTTATGTTCAAAAGTTTTTAAAGTTACGTAATGTCGTCTAATATCTTTGATATATCTTTTATAGCCCAATAACGGAAGATATACCCTTACATTGGCCCGTGTTGCATAAATTGAGCAATATACCGAATCAATGGCCTCAAAATGCGATCGTATTACCAGGTAGATCGTTGTTTTATATAGAATAATTCCTATCAATTCCTTTACTCAAATATATCGATCGATTCGTTACTTTAGGAAACGAAGTTATGTTTTCTTTGGAAACTGCTTCCGATTATATGAGAAACGATAGAGCAATTACATATGGATTTAAATGTCTAGTTATTGGATACGATTGGATAACATCTGGAAACGGTTTGAAAAACCTAGAAATTGAATTATCATTTCTCGGAGGTGCCTGTGCTGCAAGTCTCATGAAGAGAAATCTTGCGCTACCACCTGTATCTAGTACGTATCTTTTAATTTGTAATTTTAATAGTAAGTTTTTCATTTTTCACAATTCATAATTGTTTTTTTGATTTCGGTCTCAATATTTTTATATAAAATATTTTTATACCTAGATAGTTGGAATCGTATCAAATCGTGTTTCCTTTAATTTCGACTATATCATTTCAGACGAAGAAGTGGAAGAGGATTTGGAACTGATGCAAGAAACTGCAAAGAGGATTTTTTCCGTACATTCAACCTTACTTGGACGAGGATTCGCTCTAGCTTCACCTCCTACAGTTTCCCAGGCCCTCGATGGCGTTCTTCCGTTCAGGTGAGTGCAACGCTATCTTTTTTACACGTACACACAGAGCTTGATCGTCGGTTGAGAGCTGAAGTTAAAAAGGAGTGGTCGATCTTTATCGATGATGCAATATTATCCGCGTACCGTGATTAAATGAAACTTCGATACGCCAAGTATTCGTTAATACGACAGATAAAAATTTTTGTGTTTTTTAACGTTTCAATTCCATCGAAACGTTCGATTAGATCCGATTAAATTCGATGAACGGATTCATTAAAAAATGAATCATACCCGGTTATAATCGCGTTATTGAAACCGTTTATGAATCGGTACATTATGCTCCGCAAGAATTAATAGACCCGGTAGCTTTCAACGTTTCCACGTTTCTACGCGAGCGACTGCGAATAACCGATGATCGATCGCACGACGATATATCGCAAATTTTTTTCTTTTTTTACGACGCGTGTATTCATATTCATTAAGTAAAGGAAGAGGAAAAAAGAGGCGGTTTATTCAAGAAGGTGAAAGGTATGAGAAAGGTGGTATTTTGGGAATATCGATCGGGAATATCTAGTGGTCGTCGTGTGCTATGCATCAACTCGGTTCTTTATTATCTTTTTTTTTTTTTTTTTTATTATCTCGATGGTACGAGGTCTCTTTCAATGTAAAATAAATTATACAATCGGCTGTCGTTATATCACAGTCTGACGATAATTACAACTAAAACGTCCTTAGAAAAGCTTAATTTTCCGACGCACAAGTACGATAATCGTAGACGCGCGCGATTCCGTTAGACGAAAAATATCGTAGCCACCCACTTCCGCCACTTTTTCACGCGCGATCTCTAATTGGGGCGTGCCTCGATAAAATTCGAGGCAAGTTCGAAGGGAAGGCCGTTGAACAATCTCGAACAAACTCGGGAGGATCGATCTCTGCTCTTCGCTGCTCTTGGGGGATAAAACGGGACTCGTTGCGTGGAGAGGAAATGGCGGGTGTATCAATAATGCATGGCTAACACGTGCGCGAGATAGCTCGACACGCGAGAGTACGAGGCGGTCGGTCACGGCACTTCTCGTTGTACTTTAAAAAACGTAAAAAAACGTAAAAAAAAAACAGCTTCGAATCTGTCATCGTCGTCGTCGTCGTCGTTGCTCAACGAATTCCTTTCAGCTTCCCTTTCACTCGATCGTCGTCGGTTCGTTCGACGGGTAAAATATCTCGATGGCTTACCTTGATGAAACGGAGAGGAGGACGAATTATATCGGGTCTATTAATCACCGTAAGCGGCTCGAAAGCGCGGAACGATGCTCGAGTGGCGGCAGTCGGTTGCGGTTTTACGCTAAACGTATGCGCGTATTACTCGGAAAGATGGATAGAGAGAGAGAGAGAGAGAGAGAGAAAAGCGCCCCCCGTTTTCGAGATTACCGGCCGAATTCGTAAACGCGAACGGTTTCCCCCGTGGCGAATCGATTACGCTCGTCGAGGGGAAAATCCCTCGTAGCGCATTTGTCAAAATTAGATACCGATCGGAATGATAACAGTAACAACAATTTATTGGCCAAAGTCCAGAGCTCATAAATAAACATGAAATCGTAGTGAAATAATACAATAAATTAACGAGAAAGAGTTTTGTGAACACTCGAGGAGAAGGATCGTGAGTTGTCGTCACGCTCGGTTCGGGAACGGAATACAAATTTGCGTGTAACGTAGATTTCATTGGTACGTAGGGCTTGTACAAGAAGTCTTCTCTGTCTTATCGTTCTCATCCACTCGCTCGGAGTAATAATAATAATTTCAGATATATTTTTCGATATTCTTCTTATCTCGTATTGTCAAGGGGTGTCAGGTAATATCTGTTTTTATTGTGTTACAAGCACGATTAGAAACGCGATTAGAATTGGAAGGAGGAATATGATACAGGGATTCTCGATGAAAATTCTCGCGTAGGGAGTGAACAGTTTTCGCTTCGAATAATTTTCTTACGAATAATTCGCCTTCCTTCGCTCCATTTTTAAACGGAAGCACGCGAACGCACACTGGAATGGCACACTGCTTTCCGATCGAACGTGCGATCGTCGCAATCTTTCCGACACTCGTTCGACGGATGATCGCCGATAAGAAAATCTCGAACGCGACGTCACCGAGTCCGTTATCGGTTTCGATCACTCCCCTTTGTACTCGCCTCTTCTTTCATCATCATCATCATCATCTTCGTCGTCGTCGTCGCTCCCCGTCCTTCCTCCGTCGCATCGCTTCGACCAAGCTTCTCTTCGATCTTCGCGAAACGACACTGGCCCTCTTTTCTTCTCCTTTCTTTTTTTTTTTTTGGAAGCTATTTAACTAACGCGCTTAAACTTAACTAACAACGCGCATCGATTATCCATCCACGCGACCTGCTCGTGAAAAAAAAAAAACGAAAGGGAAACTCTCTCTCTAATTAGCGAGAGGTGCGATAAGTGTACGTGACCAGGTGGAAAGAACACGTGAAAAGAAAAGAAAAGGAAACGAGGGGGGGAGGGGGTGGATTGGATGGATAATCGATGCTCGTTCTTGATATGTAAATGGAAGCTTACGAACTGTCTTGTACTAGAAGGATTAAATTGAAAACAAGAGAGAGAGAGAGATTCGACATCTCTCTCTCATTCTGTTTCTTCGTCAACGCGAGTTGATAATCGTTGATAAGTTGCTCGGAGAGAGAGAGAAAGAGAGAGTAGTCCGCTCGTAGTTTGGAAAGGGATGGATGGGCGTTACGCGCACCGGAGAGACCGGTGTACGCGAGTTGGTCCGATCCGCGGATGGAATCTACGCGCACAGGCGATTATTATCGTTACATCGGTTCGTGGATTCACAGCTTGTAGACGCGAAAACGGCTCGAAGCGTTGGAGCGGTCGAATCGTTGCTCGACTCGAGGCCTGGTCGTGGTCGCCGAGCCGTTCCAAGCTTCTCGTTACAATTCCGTGGTCAACGGTTCGGCCTTCTCCACGATCACGTGAAACTCCGTCTCCCTGTACAGTCTCCCGTCCGGCACGACCATCGTTATCCGGCTGTCGACCGGCGTGGCCGAGGCAGCCGCCTCTCTGCCGATCACCCCGTTCTTTTTCGACACGACGTCGGGCGCGTTCATCGGCACGCTGATCCACTTTTTCCTGCTGTTCCTACGTCGCCTCCTGCAGCACCACACGATCAGGCAGGCGATCAGTATCGATAGGAGGAGGAGGACCGCGATGAGGAGCACGAACACCAGGATGGAGCCACCGAGGGAGCAATGTCGCGTCTCGTACTCGACGAAGCTGATCGCCACGCCGCTCGACGTTTCGCCGTCGTAGCAGAGGAACGTCTCCGGGGTCTCGTTGATCGGGGTGTCTTGGCTCGAGACGAGGGAGGAGGAGGAGAAGGAGGAGGAGGAGGAGGCGGTGTTCTGTTTGGTGTAAAACCTGGAGTAGACGTTGGTGTAATTGAGAATATTGTTCTTCCATATGGGTAACATGCGACAGTCGCACGATCGACCGACCAACAGGTTGTCGAGCTCGAGGCGAAAACTATTTCGGTCGAACATCATCGAACCCTCCTCGAAGTTGACCACGCTGTTATTCTTAAAGATGAGGTCGTGGAGAGAGGCGGCCGGTTGTACTCTCGCTTCGGCGTCCGCTCGTACACCGAGGAAAGCGCCTATGGAGAGGCTACCGAAAGTGTTGTTCTTCACGATCACAGGCCCCCTCGCGGTCACGTCGAACGCCTCGCTCTCCAAACTCTCCACCACGCAATTTTGTATCGCCACTGTCCGCGGGCTCCTCACGATGAACGCCTCGCTCCTCACCGTGCCCATCCTCACGCCGTCCAACATGAACGTGTGGTAAACCTCGATGTCGTTCATCGTCCTGCTCGGCACCTGGTCCCCGAACCTGGTACCGATCACACGCAAGTGGCCCACGTCGAATTTCTTGAACGCTTGCGCCTCTATGCTCTCGATACGACAGTTCTCCAGCCTAAGTTTCTCCGTGTGGACCAGATTCGCGAACGAGAACGCGCTCAACTGGCCGATCCTCACGTTCTCCAGGATGATCGCCTCCACGTCCCCCCGGAACACGAAACTGGGCATCGTGTCGATGCTGCAGTTCCTCACCGATATCCACGTGCGCGTACTTTGAGGGGAGAGCTCGAAACTCTGCCTGACTAGGGTTAGGTTCGCCACGTTGATCAGGTCGATCGCGCGCAGACCGACCATCGAGGCGAGGCTCGAGTTGGCCAGGATCACGGACGAGCAATTGCTCACCACTATCCTGCTCGTGTGCGGGCTCAACCTTTTGTCCCCGTCCGTGGTTAACACCAGCTCCTGAAATCAGAACGCGGTTCAGTCTGAGATCTTGTTGAAACAGGGAGAGGGGGGGGAAGACGCACCAGACGCGGCTCGTTAACGAAAGGTCGAATAAACCGTAATTGCACGCCTTATTCTAATCGCCTTATTCGCGCGATTTTCCTTTCTTCTTCTTTCTCTCGATCCGAAGCCGCCAGTTTTCGAAAGATAAAGATAAAAAATTTCGATCTCGAAGGCTCGACCTTTTTCGTCCAAACGGTCGTCTCTCTCTCCGACGTTTCGATAAAAGAGAAATCTAGACGCGAGTCGTTTTTCCCAAGTTTCCTACTCGGTACAGCTCGTTAACGACGATTAATCGAAAAAAAAAGAGAAGAAGGATCGGGAAGGCTCGTTACTCGCTCCGTTTTTTATTAATCGAGCGAAGAAGGAAGAGCGCGCGATGCCACCTATCCGCTCGGCGGCTCCTTGTTTGTTAAACAATCGATGGCGAAATGCCAACCGCATACCTGCCTCCTACCAACGATAGACGCGATCGAGATATCGTCCGCGCAAATACGTTTCACGAGGTTATCGCGTTCTCTCTCTCTCTCTCTCTCTCTCTCTCTCTCTCTCTCTCTCGTTAACTCGACAACGAGAGCGATACGTGGAAAATGCGACGTTGCGTCGCGCCTTATTCTTCGTCGTTCTCGATACTCGATAGGGATCTACACGTAGAGTAAATAAACGCGAGGAACGAACGCGTTAAAATAATTTCGACGAGAAATTTTGTTCGATATTGGAGAATGTAAGAGGCGGGATCTGGATGAGAATCGGGGCACACGGGAACGAGAAGGAGTTTGGACGCGAGATTAGCCGCGAAGGAAGGAAGAGCGTGGTGAATGGGAGGGGGAATAAAGAAGGGCCGTGGCCCACGTGTAGCGCGTGGCCGATAAAAGCGAAACCTTTTTCTCCTCGGGTACCGGCTCGCGCGTTTCACCGTCGTCTCGCCCCCAAACCAATCTCTCCTCCTCGCGTCCCTTCCTGTCTGTCCCGACCTTTGTTCCCGTCTCATTGTTCTTGGCCAATTCCCGACACACAATCTCTCTCCTCGCCCATAGAAAAGATTACCACACCCGAAATACTTGTCCTCGCGTCTACGCACCTCGTTTTTCACCATCGTCGTTCCACCAACGATTATCCTATCCAACGTTTTCTTTTCCTCGATGCTCTCTCTGTCCCTCCGTCTCCTTTTCCCCCCTCTCCTCTCGTTTTTGTTCGCCTCGAAACAGCAAACGTGTTCTCAATACCGTCACGATTCGTAACCGTGAATATATTCCTCTCCCGAAAATCATCCCCGATCGAACAAAGAGGAGGGTGTTTTATTCCTTCGAATAAGCTATATAGGATCGAGATAGGATCGTCTCGATCGGTTCGTCATTCTCGCCGATCGTTTTCGAGTAACGGAAAAAAAGAGAGGCGAGTCGAAGCGAGCGTGCCACGCCGCTTGGGACTTCGAATCGTGATTCTCGAGCGGAGGTGGTGAAACGCGAATTTTCTTCCAATTGATTCGTAGGACAAAACGGATGGATTCGTTGTACCTTTTGGGATATTTCTCGATATAGCGCGCTTTTAGCGTAATTTTAATTAGAACGCGCGATCGATTAGGGAGCGTTTATTGAATCGTAAGAAAGAAGAAGAGGAATTTTATCCGTCGAAAATAGCACTCTCCCATTCCCTTTTCGCTTTCTCTTACTCTTTTCATACGCGTGGACACACACGTCGGTGGAAAAGAGACTCGTATCTTTGTTTATTCATCGTCCGCGCGTATTTCGAAGTAGTACTTTAGCGTGGAAAGTAATCCAAGTGAAACGATAAGATGCGAACGAGTCGGTGGTAGTATTCATCCGAACTAATTTCCACCGTCGTAAATGGCGATATTTTGTATCGCCGTTGGACTTTGGCAGAGTCCTCCATTCCGTACTTTTTTTTTTTCCCCTTTTGCCTTCCTTCCGCGTCTCTCGTTACGGGAAACTGAGCCGGGTTTAAGGCTGTATCCGCTAAAAGGTTTGCTCAATTATTCAAGGGTGACGTCAATTATTCAAGGGATGCCGGCGCGCTTGACAACTTTGCTCTCGCGTTGACTGTTCGGCATCGAAACGTTTGCTCGGAGAATGGTGGAACGCGGCTGTTTCGAAACAGGGAAGGGATAGAAATTCCAATTTCTTTTCTTTTCTTTCTCTTTTTATTTTTCTCGCGTAAATAAGCGCGTAATGATTTTATCGTATCGCCGGGCGTCTCGTTGCCACGAAGCGGATAATAGATCGGAATAAGAAACTTGGATGAAATCCTCGTTTGAGAATGGAAAAGAGGGATAAGGGGGGAGGGAGACGGAGAGCGTAGGGTTCGAACTTTGCCGGGAAGGATCGGAGAAGGAGAGGAAAGACGTCCAGTCTCCCTCGATATATTCGTAGTCACGAGTTGACGGCGCGACAAATTGGCTGAGCGTGTTCGTGAAATGCCGGCTGTATTATGCGAAATCCACGGCAAAACTCGCTATGCGTTATAGAACTTTCAGCCTCTTTTTCTCGCTCTCTGTTTTTTCCCTTTCTTCTTCTTCTTCTTCTTCACCTCCTTTGCCACCTTCTCCTTCGTCCTCGTTGTTAGCTAAGGTTTTCCCTCGAAAACGAGTTCTCGTCCCAGGGAAAAATATACGTCCCGGAATATCTTTTCCACCTGTTTGACAGACGGCGCGCGATAAAGCGGCGGCTTCGATTCGAATTCTGGTGGAATTCGGCCGTGGTAATTGATAACCATATATATATATATATATATATATATATATATATGAATATGTATGTATGTAAGTATATCATGCTGCGACGAGACGATGGAAAATGGATCGCGATCCGGTAGCGATTCTCCTCCTCCTCCTCCTCCTCCTCCGTCCAGACCACGCGATCTTCGAAGCCGATGATATTCGATCCGTAATTTATCCGACCGACGATCGACCACTTCCTTTATCCGCGCACGCGACACGAGGCGCCTACGCGAGTCGCGGTCAACGCGATATCGCCGTATCGAAGGATTTTCCACCTTTCGATGTTCGCTTTAAATATATCGCCCCAATTTCGCTCTCCAGTCGAAATTTTCACGACGCGCGTGCAATAACGAGCCCGTGTTTTACGACGCAGCTTTCGCTTAGAAACGGCGGCCGTCCTCGGAGACAAAGAACGCTTTATCTCGGCCTTCGTAACGACACCGACGATGCCTCAAACGGCTCGCGATAAACGAAACTTGCTCGTCAATTCGTAGGTGTAATAATAGGTGGATTCGAGGATGGGACCTTGAGACAACTCTTCGTTCCAATTCGCCTTTATTCGCTCTCTCAATTCTTTCCCGTTCACTGGATCGAAGAGAATGGAAACGACGAAGAACGAGGAAAGGAGGGGAAGTTTGAAAGGGATAAAGATTGATCCACGCGATCGCGATCCGTCAAAAGTGGCTGCCATTTTTCCCCTCGCAGTTTTTCCTGATCTGGGCAGCGGGTAAATATCGGAGAGAAAGGAGAGGGCGAAGGTGGAAACGGGCAGAGGCGCGATCACCGCCCTGCGATTCTAATTTATCGAGATTTTCTCCGCGCGAGTCTCCTCTTCTCGTGGTCGTCGATCGATAACGCGTTATCGTTGGTTAAAAAATGGCGCTAAGAAGCGAGAGCGAGATATCCCTTGGCAATTTTTCGTCGGATGGATGTGACATTCGCTCGTTTCGCGGAGGAGCGAAATAAGAGATTCAGGGGGGAGGAGGGGGAAGCGAGAAACGAAATGGAACGAAACGAAAGAAGTTCGATAGTTAAACGCGGGTGGGCTATTTCGCGCCAGATCGAAACGGGAGGAGAAGCGAGAAATGGGGCCGCGCAAACTTTGCTCCCCCCTTTCCTTTATTTATTTTCTCTTCTGTTCGCTCGTCGACCGAATCTCTGTGTTTCTCTCGCGTGATAATAATAATAAATCGATATAGGTTTCTCGGCTACGTCTGTAGGAACATACCTCTCCTTCCTCTTTACAGTCGCAGGTCAGCCTGCCGTGAGAATCGCAGGAGCAGGGAGGATAGTCGCATCTGTTGGTCGAATTGGTCAGGGCACCCTTGAACAATCCGCTCCAGAAAAGTCCGAGGATAGCGCTTCCCAACACGAATCTCCTTGCTTCCATTTTTCTCGATCTATCCCCCCCTCCCTCTTGTCTCCTCTTCCTCTCGACGTCGGCTCGCCTCAAACCGAGTCGATATCAGCTGATTTTACGTCGAGTCGACGACCCGAATTCCCGCGTCCCGACATGCCCGCGTCCTGGATATCCCGCGACGAATGTGTTTCCTCGATTTTCCAGCTTCCGAAACGAAATCGAAGAACGCACTCAGAGTCCCGTGTCAGTTGGTCTGACACGCCACGCGCCACTACGTGATTCTGTCTGTCATATTGCCACTTCGATCGAGATCAACCACTTCTCTCCGACCGAGCCGTTTCACCGCTCGTCGTTCGAGACTACGATTCCACTACATCCAAGTCATCCTCGTCGTTATTTTCCTTCGTTCGACCGGAAACGTCCAATTACATCCATGACGACGTGCGACGTCGTTGACCATCACGACCTGTTTCCACGGATTTTCCCACTTCGACGTTGTTCGAATTCGCCTGCCGCTGTAAAACGATACAAAAATCGGTCAAACTCTTTCGTCTTCTCCTTCGCACTCCCCTCCTTCCTTCCTTCCTTCCTTCCTTCTACGTTCTACGATGCTCGTTTCCCTCGACAACGACAAATTAGATCGTACGATCGTATTGCTTTTTCTCGTTTCACTCTTTGCCCGACCTTCTCTCTTTCTGACGCGACGGAACAACAACGCCAACGTTCTATCGTTGCGACGGTGAATCACAGATAGAGGCGTACCGCGCGATAACGGATACTCTCTGATCCCTCTCTCTCTCTCTTTCTCTCTCTCTCTCTCTCTCTCTCTCTCTCTCTCTCTCTCTCTCTCTCTCTCTCTCTCTCTCTCTCTCGCTGTGTATCCTCGCATGATTAATTGTGAACAGCGTTATCTGAGACTCTGTCGCCGACTCGTCCGCCAGCCACGAATCGTGGAATTTTCGAGACGAGGAAGGAACGCGACGCGAAATTTTCTGGAAAAGAAAAGAAAGAAGAAAGGAAAGGAGAGGAAAGAAAAATAGAAGCCGAGATCTTCGATGCTCGGTCGTGAGGAAACAAAAACGGGGAAGAGGGGAGGAGGGAGAAAACGTCTGAGAGAATTTAGCGACCTTTTCGAAATTTAAATCCGTACCGTTGAAAAGGAAGTTTTATCAAATTCACCCGGGGTGATTTACATATGAAAACGCGAGGCTATTCTTCCTCTTACGTGCGCTCGAAACGCGCAGCTGCGACGCAAGTTGGCCGCTGGCGGGTTTTCTTGTTGCAAAAGCACGCGACACGCGTGCACCGAGCTGACACACGCTCGATACACATGCCGTTCCAAGTTAAACACTTTGCCCCTCGGGAACGGGGAACGCGATTACACGGTCGCCGTGCATTCTCTCTCTCTCTCTCTCTCTCTCGATCGCTCGACGGGGAGGCTAAATCTCGAAGCACAGAACCTTTTCGTCCCGAAATATTTCCGAGCATTCGTTCGAAATAATGATCGTAGCATCGCGTAATTGCTATCGTTCCAGCGTTGCGCAATCGCGTGGATCAAAATCAAAAAAAGTCGTGACACGCCGGTATCTCAGGAATATCGGCTTGTTTATCGACTTACGTATCACGCGGAATCCACTTTCGAGAAGGGGAGGGAGGTGGAGGGGAGTCGTTTAAGTATTCTCGTTATCGCGGTGAAACTTTTTTTTTCACTCCATGTAACCTGAATTCCATTTACTCGACCGAGAAACAGAGAAACAAAGAGAGAGAGAGAGGAGATCGCGATACGTTATGGCTTTTTAGTTTCGTTCGAAGAAATTACGTTATTATCCGAAACGAAAGTTTTTAAGATAATGCGTGATTTTACGGAGGATATATCGGAGGGAATTGGATACACTCGCGTGAAACGTAATCCCGCCGGTGATAATCGAGTATTTGTTTAACATTTTAACACGAATTATTCGTCGATTTAGAAAAATCTTAATTGAACGTATACGCGTCGATGTTTCGCTTATAAGAAACCGTGAACCGTTTAATAATTTCATTTAATCGCTGCTCTTTTGTCGCCTCTTAAATTTACGTCTCGATCCCCTTCGAAACGTAAAGGAATCGGTATTTAAACAATTTTCCGGTGGTGGACGAGCTTGTCGAAACGAGGGAAGAGATTGCAACGGGATTATCGAGGCGCATCGCATCGCTCGTGTTTCCTTCCCGTTGCCACGTTTCCTCGGGTGGGACGTCCGTTCCGTTAGAAAACCGTATAATTTCGCGCCACGTGTCCTTTCCACCGCGCGTCCTTCCTGCGTTTCCACCAAAAAAAGAAATCGAAGGGGTGGCGTTAATTTGGCGCGAAGAAAGAAAGGTTCTACGCGGAGACGCGGCCGGCGATTTTAATGAATTAACTTTCCATTGGGCGGGCTGGAGTACAAAGCGGAGAGGAGTACGAGAGGAAAGAGCGCATCAATGGCCGTGAAAAGAGTGGCGCGAATGAAAGGCGAGGCGGGGCGGTCCGATTCGAAAAGGAGCAAGAATTTTTCCGCTCTCTTTCTCTTCCGTCTTCCGTTCCATGGCCACGCCGATATGAAAAAAAAACGACTTGTTGATTAATTTAACGAGCACGGCTCGCGAATCAAAAGGGTTTTAACGCGTCATTACGCGCTCGGACGCGATCTTCGTTAATCTCGTCCTGCGATACTGGCAATAAACGTAATTATGTTTACGCGCGGGGAGGGACGATAAAAGCCCTCCTTTCGAGGAAACCATTTTTTTTTATCGATTCACGAATCCGTCGTTCACGTTCAATTTTCGGAACGGATAGGAACTAATTATCGCAGATTCTTTCACGAGGTTTGGAGGAGAGACCGGGTGGAATTGGATAATCCACGCTTCTTACTTCCCGACCGTTCGAAGGTTTACCACTCGGGTAAAAACGCGGAACGATCGTGTAGAACCGGTAACGAGCGGCGGCGCAACCGGTTTTCCCTTCGAATCGATACGCTTCTTTGTGCATCGTATTTCCGCTCGGAATTCCGATTTTTCCCGAGTCGGCGAACGCGATCGAGCGTGAGCGATTAATTGTCCACCGGCACACGCACTCACACACGCACTCACACACGCACACACATTGGACACAGATAACGACGAGTGTACGAACGACGTATGCGCGCGTGGAGAGAGAGAGAGTGACACGGAAAACGTAGCGAGGGGGAGGAGGGGACGTACGTAACGAGAAAAGCGAGACGAAGGAAAGAGAATGGACGGACGAATCGATGCTTGTGGCGATGACGGTCCAGCGTAGAGAGAAAATTGGCAAGAATGTTGGACGCGGCCGATTTCAACGATTAAACGCTCCGGCTGATGTTACTTGTATATTCTTCTCTTTCCACGTTATTCGATCAAACTCGTAGTAGTTAGTAGCTAGTATCCTAGATCTCCACGCGACAATCGCCAGACGCACGAGTAAATCGCTTCCTGTTACGTGACTCTTCCCACCGCTCGAGCCGCGAGCGAGTACACGCGACGACCGCCCACGCGATGCCCGCCATCCGTCTATTTCGAAAATTAGGAATACGAGGTAGTGGACGCGAGCTCGTCCATCTCTTATTGGGAGGCGTCGCGTCGCGATGATTTCCAATGCCCGGGCACCGATGAACGAGAAAAAAAGAAGAAACGAGAGAAAAAGAAGAAACGAGAAGCTCGTTGGTTCGAGGGTTCGAGGGTTCGAGGTCTTCCTTGAAGGGATTAAGATCGGATATCTCGAAGGTCAAAGTCTGCCCGTTACCCGAGCGAGACAACGGGTAATCCCGCAATCACGGCCGAGCTTCTCTCGTTCCTTCGAGATATACGATCGAACAGGTTCGATTAATCGTTCGGATCGGGGACGGATGCTCGCGTTACCCCTTATTCGGGGATATCGGTGAGGTTGCCATTCCGTCGTTTCCATCGGACGGAGGAAATTGTCCACCGATTGATTCGTTATTCCGATATCATTCGTGATCACTCGCGAACGTTGCTCTTCTATATATCCGATAAGTAGCGCGATTGTTATCGCTCCTCTCCTACCATTCACTCGTTTTAATCGTTTATTTTCGATTATTCGCGAACGCGTTGTCTCGCGAAGAACAGATTTTCCATTAAAAGGGACGAATTTACCAAGAGAGATAAGATATAAAGATGAGGAAGAATAAAAGAGAGGAGAGGGAACGATCGTTATTTTTATCCACGCGTTGCGACCGAACCCGAAGAGAAATTATGCGCTTACGCAAATCGTTACGCGCGATAAAGCGCGTTGCATCGGGCTAAGTCAATTTACCGCGCGAATACGCTCCGCTCGGTCAACCGAGATGCCACCAGTTTTTTCGAAAAATGGGAAAAGAAAGAGCAAGGAGAGAAAAAATTTCTTTTTTCGGTAAACATCTCGTCGAAAATCGATACGCGCGTGTAAAGTCAGCGTTCGATAACGCGAAACCGTAAGCAGTATTGTACAGCTGCAGCTGCGAGAAGAAAGAAAAAATATCTCCATGAATCGACAGCTGCGCGCCGCTCGACGCGTCTGGTGTGAACAATTACGATACGTCGTAATTATCTCTATTTGGAGCTGGCAATGTCATCGAGTCGTTCCTCGTTCCAAGTCCACAAAGTCCACGAACGCGATCTAGATTTGAAACGACGATCGAAGATGAAAATCGCGACGAGAAGATGATCCGAACGAAATCGAATCGAATTCCCCTTTAAGAACGGACGTTTCATCGAAGACGACACGCGTACAACTGACACGCGCGCGCCCACACGCAAACTAAAACAAAACGTGCCACGTGGGAAACGATGCGTTACCATCGCTCGATCCGCGCGATTCCAACGATCGGGCATATTTTCGCGACCTCTCGTCTTTGGTCGTGGACGAGATAACGCGACTCGCTTTGACCGAGTTCGCTTCTACGTGGTTCTATATCGGACAGTCACACCCACTGTTTGCATCAGCCGCGGAAAAATCCATCGCGAGATTTCGCGACGCGATCTTTTCTAACGCGTCATCGTCGTTTGCACGATCGTTGTTGTCAGTCACGGGGCACAGTTATGCAATCATCTTTCGAGGATGTTCCGCGCGGCCTGTGAACGGATTGTCGCCGATGGAAGGTCGTGCGTCGTTCCATTCTCGAGGATCGAGAGAAGAGGAGGAACGAGTTGCGCGCGATCCACGCCTCCGTAACCTTTTACATCGCCGCGATCTTCGCTCCAGTGAACTTTTCACTGGAACTACCGACGAGTGTATTCTCGTCTTAGGTTATCGCACTTTCTCGAACGAAACAGATTTTTCCTTCTTCCTTTATTTTTCTTTCTTCGCGTTTCTCCTTTTTTTTTTATCCTCGATCCACGATCAAAGAACACGAAGGAAGGAACGCACTTTGTTCTCTCGCGATTAATCGCGTAGAACGATTGAAGAGAGGGGAGGAGTGGGGAGAAAGAGCGAGACGTTGCGATGCTACGTAATAAAGATGATACGCGTACGCGTCTTTACCTCGGTATCTCGGGACACGATACACCCGTGACGCGACGCATACGACGCGCGAACAGCAACTGGCCGCCTTTCGAATTCGCGGCTGGTTTGCACCTCGACGACGGTTATCGCGCGACACGAGTCCCCCCCTCTTCTCTCGCATCTCCCCACTACCGCTCGTGCTTCAACCTCCCCCCCTCTTCCTCCTCTCTCTCCCCTCCCTCCCTCCTCACCCAGTGCACGCTTCTCTCGGGCTTGTCTTGCGGTGCCGCATGGGAAATGCCGTATCCCCACCAAAACGAGTAAGCTGCCCTCCCTCGCGTGCTTTTCAGTCGGTCTTTTGCCACCTTGAGGTGTGCGTTGTTACTCGTTCTCGTCTTCGCTCTCGGTGTTTCCCCTTCGGGAGTACGGGAGGAAAGAGAAAAAGAGAAGAAGAAGAGAGGATAAAAAGTTTGGTCGAGCAACAAACTTATATTTGTCCGGTACACCGTTATCCGGTAACCCGTTCTTCCTCCGTTCTTTCTTCCCTTCCCCCTCGACTTCATTTTTCGCGCGTATCGAATCGATTCGCCCTTGCACCTTTAAGTTATTGCGAACCACTCGAGGCAGTCGGCAGTTCGACTTCCTTCCCTTCTCTTCCCTCTCTTTTCCACCGTGTCGCGTGTTCGTACGAAATATTTGCACGTGAACGTAGGTCACGTATCACGAGCCATACCGACCATGTTTCGCGGCAATCCCTCGACGGATACGTCGCGCGAACGTATAGAGATCCGTGATTGAAAACGGTACACGCGAAACCGAGCCAGGTCCCGCGTTACGTTTCGTTCGGGTCCCGTGCCGCGTTCGAGTCGATCGAATTTACGAGCCGGACCGTCTTAACGGTCGAGTCGAATTCGCGTGCGAAACGAATCGGTATTTTATTCAAACGGCCTGCTCGCTCTCCCCCGTTATCTTATCCCCGTATCGATCGAATCTTCGTCGTTTACTTCCTTTCTTCGTGTCTCCCCTTTTTCCGTGTCGCACACCCAATTCCTTATCGGTTGTGCACGATAAAGCGCCACGGACAAGACCGAGCGAATCATTCGTAGTCACGAGTGTTATTTCCACCGATTATTTCAATCTCGACTCTCGGTTTTTTCTTCTTCCATCGTTCCCATTTAAGAATATCGAGCGTTCGTATCGCGTTGCTTGCAGACAAATTGCTTAAACTCAATAAAGGGTAAAAGATTGTTCGGGCTTGGCGGTAATCGACCACGTGTCCTTGAATAATAAAATCGGAATTTACGTTCGACATTAATTTCGGAACATTTAGAAATCTCGCGTTTATAAGTTTTAAATCGGAAAAAAACTGTATAGCATCGAACGTGAGGAAATATCTCTCAAGAGATTACAATCGTCGTTTTAAACATTGCGATATACATCGCAATATACATATTGCGATTCGAACGAGTTTCTTGCGAGTTTCAAGAGACAGAGACACGTTGTTTCGTTTAATTAGTAAGAAACGAAGCGATTGAATTAGAATCTTCGTCACGAGAGATCTAAATAGTCGGAGTCGGATCATCTATCGAGGCTAATTGAATTGACACTCGGTCTACGATTATTCGTAATTTCTTTTACGCGTATAGAATCGAAGAATAATCTTCCTCTTAAAAAACGTTTTCTCTACGCGTTATAATTTTATTCGCAGAGAAATTTCGATATAATGTTGAAAAATCATTCTCCTCGTATTCGAATCCGCTTTTCCATCAAATAGAATCGCTATGTTTATCATTTCAGAATTGCTTCCGATCTTTCGTTTTAAATCGGTCTTGAGTTCCCTCGAGAAGAGAATCGGAAAAAAAAATCTCTTCGGCCGATTTTTTTTCGCTATTTCGGCGTTCGTTTCGTTCGATTACTCGACAGATTTTGATCTTTTCCTCGTTAATTAGCCAGTGATTAATCGCGATGAGCGGGCAGTGGATAAAAAAAACGTGTGAAATCGCCAAGATGATCGTTCATCCTTCCGTTTTTCAATCCTTTCAATTCGAGCAATCATTTTTTCCTCTCCCCTTGCCCTGTTTCTCTTCTTCTCGCCGTTGATTTATCGTCCCATTATTATAGCCAGCGTGTTACGCGTCTTTATTTTCATAGAGGAGTTTCGAAACTACGATTAATCTCTCTCGGGGAGGAATATGGGGAGGAAAGGGAGGTGTTTTTGCGCGGCGAGGATCATCCGAGAATTCGATTCTAATTAAACCGCATTTCGGTGCGCACAGCTGGCCGATTCAAGTTTCGTCCCGTCTCGTCCTCTCACAGGGGAGGGGAATTTCCGTCGCGAATTGGGCGCGCGCACGTCGCGCGTCACTCTTGCTTGAAAAATCTCGCAGGCTGGCGCGAACAATTTCCACGATATTTCCCGTCCCGAGCTTTCCGTCCGCCGCATCCGTTTGATCTGCCGCCTCCGCCCTATCGCCTCCTCCTTTCCCTCCTCTAACGCGTATAAACTCGCGCCTTTTATCATCACTGTCGGGACGTCAGGGATGATATGCGGCCCTTACGCAACTCTGCCGGAATCCAGACAGCCGTACGATTCTTCTTCGCGTTCGTGGAATCATTTATGCGACGATTTATAAACGTTATACGACGTCCCTCCCCCTTACGACCAACGGAATCACGAATCGTGAAAATGCAAATTTAACATCGATTTCCATTCCGATATATATTCACCCCTTTCGATCTCTTCCTTTTTTTCTCTATCGCGCCCCCGCTCTCTCTCTCTCTCTCTCTCTCTCTCTCTCTCTCTCTCTCTCTCTCTCCTTCCCTTCACCGCCATTATTCCCCATCATCATCGTCCTTTCCCCACACGTTCCTCTTCTCGAAAACGCGTCGCGCATACCAGCGGGGACCCGGCATGATCGCGGTTCAAATCTCACGCGAATGATCGCGCCGTAATTTTTCACCTCCGAGTCAGCCGGGGACTCTCTCTTCCGCCGATAAGACCGCTGCCTTTCGATCATCGATTCGTCGAGACTCGATTCTCCTCCGTTTGTCCGCGACACGTTCGTTCCCTTCCCCTCCCCCTCCCTCCGTTTCCTCGGCTAAAATATCGGAAGGGGGCGAAAATTAATCGCGCGTCCATGGCCATTTCCGATTTCCAACGATCGATCCATGACGGCCACGGCCGTGAGAAATTGAACTGATTCCATCGGTAATTATTTCCATCCTCCCTCCCCATCGGTCCCTTCGATCCTGCCCGACTCGGCCACCGTCCACGCGAAATTGTTAATTACGGCGATTAATTAGACGTTGGCGGATAAAAGTAGCCGATCGTTCCATTTCCATCGTAATTCGAAATCGACGATCGGTCCTCCCGCATTTACACGTTCTTCATTCGAGTATCAATTTATGGATGGAAAAATGGAAACATCTTTGGAAACGTTTTACAGTTTCAGAACGTTGTCCTACGTTATATACGTGTCCCGATCTCGAGTAAATTATCTCATCGTTGCAAAGCGTACGTGTTGCGCGTTACGCAATCTCCGTTCCCTCGCGATCGAAGCGCTCTACTCGGCCTAGTTCCGCCACTTTGAGCTCTCGCGTTTTCCACGATAACTCGGCCCGAGTGATTAATTCCGCGTCACGTTCGCTCGTTAAATCATAGTCCGCGGCGGTCCGATCAACAAGTGTTACTTCTCGGACCGCGGCGGGGAAAAAACCCTCTCTCTCTTTCTCTCTCTCTCTCTCTCTCTTGCGCTTGCCAGACATTCGACGAATGCCGCGAGATCGCCAACGCTCCTAGGAACGCGACGGATATCCCACCGATCGTAATGCTACTTTTTTCCACCGATAAGCGCGAAGGAGAATCGAACCTTATTCTCTTCTTCTTTTCTTTCTTCTTTTCGAACGCGATATCGCCGAGTTCGGCGGACCGACGGTGGTCCGCGTTGATCCGAAAGGGCGCCAGCCGACTGGCGGCGTCTCGGCTACCTCCCACCACTACGCTCCGTCCGAGTACGATAACCCCATCGGCAGATGTTCCCCGAGATATCGCCAACCTATCGTCCTCCGCGAGTCCCCGCGATCCCTTATTTTCCACCTTTTCTCCGACCATCCATTTCTTTCGTTCGATCCTATTCTTCCCCTCCTTTTCGTCGGCGAAGAAGAAGAGAGAGAATCTTTCGAACCCTTACCCTCGATAATATTTCGAACGTGTTTTGTTTCCAAACGTCGATCCTACGTGTTATTATTATTATTATTATTATTATTATTATCGGAGCCGGGAGAAAATCATTACGCGTCTCGGATCGGGAAAATTTTTAATCGCGCTTTCTGGGTCGCGATCCACTTATTCAGCGTTATTCGCGATTTTTTAATGATTCGCGACTTCAAAGCGACTTCTTTGGAAAGAAAGGAAGAGAGAAAAAAGAAAAAAAAGAGGGGAAAAAAATTGTAGCGCTCCCTTTCTTTTCGGCGGTGGGGGGAAACAGCAGAGGGCAAGGGAAGGGTGAAAATATGATGGGTTCGATAAACGGGAGGAGGCGTTGGTGGTTGGCGATTTCAAAAGATATACTCGGCGCGCGCACGTAAAAGGGAATAGCTCGGGCAGATACTTTCCTCTGTTAAACACCGTTCGTGAACGGAATACCCGACCCACTGCCCGGGGACGTATATATTCGCGGCTTGTCTCCTCGACGCCCGCCATAAATTTACCGCTAAATAGGAAAACACCGTTTCGCGCCATCTCGATCGATCGCCGTTACGTTCCCGTTACGCATCGAAACCTGTCGAAACGAAACGAAGTAGGTTCATATATATATTTTTCCAGATATCTCTCCACTCGCTGAAATCTGAAAAATCTGAAAAATCGCGTTGCCCGATCTCGATCACGCCGACGCATTTTCGATAGGAAGCGCGCGGCCTTGAACGGTCGGTCACGACTTTGAGCAGACTTCGGCAGCTAAGGTCATGTACAAACTATCCTCCACCTATCTCGCAAAGTGTTCCACTCCGACGAGAGTTTTGCTTCGGTGTCGCTTCATCCTAGTTACGAATTCATCGCGAGTCGACGTGCCCCTCTCCGCTCTACTACTATTTCGCGTCGAGACAACGCGCCATTATC